CACCCATTCTGTTTTCCACGTTCAGTACAGTGATCACTGGATGACGGGAGACACCTGGCAGTGACAAACTGGGCTTTGTGTCGTATGGCTCTGCCCAGCTGAAGGCTGATGGAAGTGTGTAGAGCACCTCTGGGGAGGCTGAAGTGAGCTACGATGTTCTGCAAATTAGCGCTATGAGACGCATTTTCAATTTCCCATGGTTCTCCTGACACCAGGCTCTTCAGGGTGAGATGCCGCAGTAAGCCAAGGAGCATCTGCATTACCCTGCTCTGACGCCCATCTCAGTTTAGCTTCAGAGACTTCAATAAACACCGAGAAGTGAGTGGGCTGGGAGTGCTGGTACACGCCCGGAATCCCTGCCACACAAGGTGTGGTGGCATGTGAGGCCCGTGCCATCGGTGGTAACAAGAATTTACCAGTAGTCAAGGGATAAGGGCCGGGGATGTAGCTCAGCGATGCTGTGCCTGACTCGCAAGTGCAAGGTCCTGAGTTTGAGCCCCGGTACTGGAAAGAAAAACAGTCAAGGGATATAGGAGAGTTAGGAGATTACTGACCCCACGCCAGAGAGCAGCAGGCAAAGGGGTCTGTGCTGTCAGGGGAGAGGCTGAGGTTCCTGCATTCGATGTACTGTGAAGAAATAGGAGCGGGCTGTGGTCTGGGCTGGGTATATGCATGCCGTCTTGGGGCTAGGGTAGAATGAAAACCATGTCCCTGTGTTTGAAGCTGAGACAGGCTGCACAATAATACTGTTGCTTCCTTGAAGATGGAGGTCTGTAGAGGATAATGGGGGTGATTTACAGGGGAAAGCACAGGTTCAGAGCCCAATTCAATCTTCCTTGTCTCCTTCTACCTGTCTTTTCTACACTACCTCAGCTCTACCTCACAGTTTCAGATGGCTGCCACAGTCCCCACCATCATACCCTCACACCAACTGGGCACCCCATGGTCTCATAAACCCGAACTCATTCTCACAGCTTTTCTAAGCTTCATGGACCACTGGAATGACAGTCACACAGTCACCTAAAATGTGGGGCTTCTATACCCAGAAGGGATGCTGGGAATCTCTAGCAGTTTCTGCCCACACTCCTTGGCATGTCAGCAACCATACCTGGGGAGCAGACAAAGCCTGCTCACCTGCCTTCTGCTTCTGGCTCCTGGGGCATTGTGGGAGGCCGAGAGGGGCAAAGCCAGTGGGTGTAATCCAGCAGTTCTACTCTGGGCGTGGCTGAAGGGCAAGTAAATGAGGTCACCCACAACATGAAGCTGGTGGGCCAGGTAGGTCTCAAACTGCCCTGTACCCAGCAAGGTAGAGTAGAATTTTAAGTTATGTGTTTTTTCTTTTCTTTTACAGAGGAGCAGCTTTTGCTAACTTCCTCCTGCTTAGAGCATAGCCGTAGCCGTCATGCCCTCCTCTCCTTGGCCAAGATAAGCAAAAAGAATGCGCAGGTGCCGGCCCCCAGGGTCGGAGTCCAGGGGAGGTGGGGCCAGTCTGGGGCTACGCCACACTGTACTCCTACTCTTCTCTGTTCTTTGCTATAAAAGACCCTTGCACTCCTGGGAATGGGGAGATGGTAATTTGAGGCCAATGAGGGCCTTGTATTTCCTTGGTGCTGCCTTTGAATAAGGACTTTTCTCTCCAAAAAGAAATGTCCTCTTTGGTTTGGTTAGCAGCGAGCAAACGATCCTGAGCATATGGACCCACGTAGCCAGTTACGGCAAAGCTCAGCTGTCTAGAACCACGCGGTGTCCTGCTCTGGGGCTGGCAGAGCCCAGGACAGTTGAGAGTCTTCTAGGACCCGGCTTTGCGGCAGGCGGAGTAGCGGAGATTCACAGGAAGGACTGGCAGATCTACCAAATAAATGCACAGGACTCTAATTCAGTTTGACTTTTAAATAAACAAGGAATATGGTTTTAGTTTAAGTGTGTCCATGTTCCAGTCATCATTCATTTGGAATTCAATGTCACTGGGTGGGCTGTATTTTTTTCTGGAAACCATACAAGCCTAGGGGCTCAGCCAGGTCCCAGAGGAGTCTGTAGCCCCAGTTGGAGCCAGTGCAAGTTTAAGGCAGGCGTAGGGACCTGCAGGCTTGGTCTGATCCCCAGAGAGATAAGGAGCCACAGCGATCACCCAGAGACCACTAAGTTCCACTCTTCTCTGTGCAGGGTGACCCTCCCCTTTCTGCTTCCCAAGACCAGAAGCCAGTTCTCTGGAAAGAAGCAGAAGAGAAGGGAAGCCTGGCACATTTTTTCCCAGAGACTGAACATTACCCTAGTGCTCTTCAGAGAATCCTTCAAACTGCATTTAACCCAGGTAGAATGAAGATTTTAAAAATCACTTATTATTATTTTTCAATTGCTGAGCCACAGGTGAGGGCTTGAAAATTTCCAGTTTGATGCAGACCAAATCGAGATCATCCCTCTCCTGTGGTCCCCTGAGCACCTGGGACTGAGATTGGTGATGCTTTCACTGTAATTGTCCCACCTGAAGTCCTGCAAGGAGTCCCTGGGGTTGGGGGACAGCATCCGGTCAAGTCTGTCCTCTTTCCGAGTCACCACCTCCCATTCTCCCGGCCTGATCGGCAGGGCCAGGCTGCTACAGATCTAAGGCCAGTCTTCCAACAGCCTTAGTCACCCTCCACGCCCCGCATTTATGGGAGCTTGAGGCCTCATAAAGGTCGATGTGCAATGATAATAAACAGGCCGGTTGGCTTGGCTGGGTGCAGGATGCAGTCCAGCACGGAAGCTGTCATCTGCAGAGCACACCGGCCTGGGGGGACAGAGAGCAGGTCCTTCTCCCTCCTGTCCTTACAGCTCAGAACACTGTGAACTGTGCCGCATTGTGCAAGCTCCGGCTGTGCCAGGACACAGGAAGCGTCCCCTGTAATGGGTGTTGTGTGCGTGTGTACGTGTGTGTGTGTGTGTGTGTGTAAGTGTAGGAAAAACTGTGTCAGAGGTCAGCTACGCCACCACAAGCTGATTCCAGCCTTTCCCTGTCCACAGCTGTCTGTGAGAGGTAAGAAGCTGAGAGACGTGGACTGGCTCCCCCGTCCAGCCCCGAGTCTCCTTTGCCTCCACTTTCTTGTTACTTTTCAGGTCCTTCAATAGATGAGACTTTTTTACAGTCCTTTTGGAACTGATTGTAACAGCTCTTTCCTCCCTTTGTTGATTAACTAGTAGAATACAATCCTTGACATTTGTTGATATTTACATTGGTATGAGAATAAAGATGTTAACATTTTCTGAAATTTTTCTTTAATGGGGTTAGCAGGACTGATTTAAAAATCTAATTTCTATCGCTTACTGACTTTTAGCTTCTGGCAGATCACTGCACCTCTCAGGGATGAACCTTAGCTTGCCCTAGAGGATATAGTGAACGGCAGTAGCAAGGCTCTCCCCCAATACAGGGCTGAGACCCCGCCCCTCACTAAAGCCGCGCCCAGTTCCGCTCCGGCATCGTTAAGCCCCGCCCATAGCCCCGCCCCTGCCCCTCTATGGCTATAAAATCTCCGCCTGCTCGCCAATCGCGATCAGGAGCCCAATCGGAGCGGGGCGGTCGTGCCGCACACTCTCCATTGGCTGCGGGTGGCGACGGTGTCGGGCCCGGGCCTGTGATTGG